TATAATGATGCATAGATCGCACAGTTCTGTCGTTTTTAGCCGTCGCTGCTAGTTGAGAAACTTATTTCCCACATCTGTGACATTTACTGAGAAAGTTGCGGCAAAGAAAAACAAGCAAAACCCGCCGCAATAAACTTAAGATGTGATATTTAGAACGCGGCTTATAAAGTGTTTGCAAAACAGTCGCTTATTTGCATATACCGGCAGATGCGAAAGTAATTTCGGCGCGCGCTTCCAGTCGTGTTTCTGGCAACGTGGTGAATGTAAATCCAGAACTCGCTCTCTTCTAAGTCAATATTTGCCCTGTTTTGTTCTCTGTCGCCTCCTCAGGGAAATAAGGCTCTTTAGCTGCTTAAATACTCCCTTAAATGAACTTTGTCGCCTTTGCCGTTTTGCGTTGACCCGGTAGCGTACTGCAGATTCATCAGAGCCATTTCCTCTGAGTCAGAACTGTGGATTTTGAGGCTGTTGGACCAAAACAAAGACTGTAAACAAAAGCTGAAAGATGCTAAAAAGGAACCACAGAATGAGGAGATTATTTAGAAGGAACATGTTTTACGTCGCACACAGTCATTGCAGCATGTCAGTTTTAAGAAAGAAACGACATATAAAAGAGGAACCATAATGATTCTTCGCAGTGATGCCACAGAAGGACCATTTCTAGTTCCACAAAAGAGTGAGTGAAGAGGTTTGATTTCTTTAAACAACCCCCGAAAGGTGCCTCCAAGAACCACCAAAAAAATGGTTCCTTTAGACACCACAAATGGCGCTTTGGAGAGCTTCTTCGGGACTGATAGAGCGCCATTTATCCTCGCCAAAGGTTCTTTAAAGGATAAGAAATTCCTTCCAAGAACCACCAAAAAAATTGTTCCTTTACCATACATGGTGGTCTGTAAAATTTTACTTGTTTTGTGTAATTTTTTCCCCGAAGTAACATCTGACACAAGAATTAGCTTCGTGGTTAGTTCTATTTGGTTGGTTCTATTTAATCTTAGCAAACAAAGAGCTCCCAAAGGTGCCTTCAAGAACCACCAGAAAATGGTTCCTTTAGCCACCATAAAGTGGTGAACTTTGCAATTATTATATTTATTCTTGTGTTATTATAATTAAGAATCTCCTTTTAGCAAGACGTTTTTCAAAGAACCCCCAAAGGTACGTCCAAGAACCACCAAAGATGGTTCCTTAAGGCGCTGTGAATGCTGCGTTGGAGAACTTTGCATTTATTTTCAGGCTATTGTCATTTTTTTCTGAGCTCAGTCTGGCACAAGTTTCCTTCGGTATTTATAACATTTAAGCTTGTCTTAGCAAGAGGTTCTTTAAAGAACTCCCAAAGGTGCCTCAGAGAAGCACCAGAAAATGATTCCTTTAGACACCACAAAATAGCAAAGTTTACATTTATTAGATTTATTCTCATATTATTGTCATTTTTCAGTGCAACATCTGGCCCAAGAATCTCATTTTAGCAAGAGGTTCTTTAAAGGACCCCCAAAGGTACGTACAAGAACCACCAAAAACGGTTCCTTTAGGCACTATGAATGGCGTTTGGAGAACTCATACTATTGTCTTTTTTTCTGAGCTAAATCTGGCACAAATTTCCTTTGGTATTAAGGAAATAGCTAGTTCAGTGTCCTAGTTAGTCTTAGCAAGTGGTTCTTTAAAGAACTCCCAAAGGTGCCTCCGAGAAT